TATCATACAGGCAGTTATAAAAGAGACTTTGTCATCTATAAAACATATTTATCGCTAATTAATTGGCGTTTAAATAATACTATTCTATACTATTCTATAGTCTTTGGATATTATTTATACCCTACAATTTCTGAAAGCAAATTTAAAGTCTTTAGTAATAAAATTTCTACAAACCGTTAAATATCTGTAATTTATCGAAAGATGACAAATTCATAATTTTATAAATGTAATTCTAGGAACATTTCAAAATGTGTAACGTATCTGATTAATTCATAGAGGAGCGGAACCAGGAATGTGTAAACTTGGAGCACCAGTACAAAGTGAGACGTGCTAGCGTGGGAATTCGAAGATAGATACTTTCAATTATATATTCCATTTAAAGTACAGTACTTATTTGTAAAAATTAAATAATTTAAATTTATACATGGGCTGAACCAGGATTAATGCCTGACACTTCTCAGCACACCATCACAAAGCTTAAAAAAATGTACATCAGACTACATGGCTTTTATTCCGTCCACTGATGTCATCTGACTCTTGTTTGTCGTCATGAGTATGAAATGCGCGTTTCCTTTTAATTTTTGTTTGCAGCGCTTTATTTTTGGTTTGCTGGTGATTTTTGTTTTTGTTTGCAGTGTTTCTTTTTTCTTATTTTTTTTTTTTTTTTTGCATTTTTGTTTTTTTGTTTGCAGCATTTCTTTTTTTGTTTGCAGCATTTCTTTTTGTTTGCAGTGTGTCCCTTATGAGCCATCGTAGAAATTCAACCGGGGAAAAGAGAACACATGCTAACAACAGCTCTTACTCTAATGCTTCTAATCGTCTATCGGCAGTAAATTGAAAGTTGGAATGATATACTTGAACATTACTACTAAAAGATTTATAACTGTTTTAAAAAGGCAAACAAATACCAAACAATGGATCTAAAGCTACAAATATTCAAAATAGCCAAATAAATTGTGAAAACCATCAGCCCTGAGGAAATCATACAGTTTGATATTTATTCAGGTATAAAGATATATAAAAGTAACGACATATACAAAAATATAGTATCTATATTATTATGATTACTATTATTGCTACAGTTCTAATAAATACAGAAAAGCGGATTTGTGTTGTCCCATATTCTGTAAACATTTAATTTCATTTCTTTTACTTCTCGACAAATTGTGTTTAGAACCTCGTGGCCCAGTTCTACCCAAAGGGAAAGACCTGCCCTCTCCCGCATCTCGGTGCCCCTGTCCCACTGGTCTACTAACTGAACTTTGTATGTTTAAATTGATGAATGAAATGTTCTTGTTTCCTGTATCTTTTGCTTTTGGTCAAACATAGCCGGAAACTCTTTAGAAAATGATTAAATTCATTATTATTTTTTTAGGCTTTCATTTAACACAATTTTTGATGGCAAATTGCTTGCTTTTTTTGGTATAATATTTATCCGAATAAAATATATATGAAATTAAGTAACAATAATAATTAATAAGCAAACACGTAAGTAATACACAATAATATGTAATAAACAAATAGAAGTAGAACAAGTAACTAGTTTGTAATATTTATTTGTTTACTTTTGTGTGTGCAAATATTTTTAATAGTTAAAACAAAATATGTAGTCCTGTTTATTATTTGTGATAAAGTGTGTGTAATGTAATTAAGCTACACAAATATGAACAAATGTTAAGTACAAATTACCAGGTCAAAAATTCTATATATTATTTATTTCCTATTATATTCTCAAAGTATTAAATAAAATACAATTAATTATATCCAACAGTATAAATATAGTGAAGATTTTAGAAATATGATTATGAAGAACCGTTTCGTCTGACGTCACAAGTCCAGCAATGACTGCCACTTCCTAGAGAACCAGCGAAACGCAAATCAACCTTGATGCATTCCATACCAAGTTTCTCGAAAAGTCTTTGAGTAGGAATCTCGTTTGCATCTACAACCACCCGGTTATGGTCCAACATCAGAACATTCATTGACAGCCATGTTGAAGAAAACCACATCGGGTGATCTGTAAAAGGTGCACAGAAGAAAGTCTTATAGAAATATAATTGTATAAATTACACTGAAAATTGTGTTCGTTTTGTTGACTGAAACAGATAATGATGGCGCTGACACTGTACTGATTCTAGAAAATATAACGATAATGTAGCAATGGCGTTCACTGCAACAAGGATGGCAACGAAAAAAAGACAGCAACAGCAAAAGACACAGCAGAGTCAAATCAAAATCACAGGGACAATCACAACCATTGTCATAACCACGATGACAATCATAATACAATCATAATATCATTTTTTTCTCGAGTTTATTTCAAATTCTCAAAATCATTATGAAAGTTTCAAAAGCAATTTGGTTTGATTTGAATTGAATTTATTCAGCAATCAGAGTAAAATACAAAAACAATGAAGACAAGACAAGGAAAAACAAATACAATTGAAAATTCTGAAAGCAATGAATAGCCCATAAAGGTTTCAAAGAAACGTATTTCCATTGGATCTCCTGCAAACGAAACATTCAATTGCTAAAAGAAAGAACAACATCAAGGGTATCTACAATTAAAAAAAAGGACACTTTGTTAAAATTGAAAAAGGATTATTTACAATTTGAAAGTAAGACAAGATAAAAAGATCAACAATTTCAAAATGTAAAAACTAATAACAATATGACTGGCTTCTGAAAGTCTTTCCAAGGCATATTCTGATATAATTCATCTCATTATATTCATTTGATATATCTTTTAATATTTTAGTTCGACTTACCGCTTGGTGTTATTGGACGAGGTGCCTCAACGACATCCCACCCAGCTTTTGAGAACAGCTCTATCTGATAGCAAGGTCTTTCTGGGTTGACTAAAACCAGACCAGGTCTCAATAAGCACAGGGACGCATCTATATGCATCGGAGCATCGTCCACACATTGTACAATGTTGATTGTATAGTCATCACCAATTTGACGTCGAAGCCACTCAACACCCATTCGGTTTGTCGTCTGAGATTGTAAATAACAAGATTGGTATCCTCATTAAACCGTTTTATTGAAAAGTGATTTATTATAGACCTATAACAGTAAAACAATATAGTACTCACGTGACTTAACTGGCAAAAAATGTCCTTTCCAGCACGTTGAAAATCAGCAGCGTCGAAGCAAGGTTCAAATTCTGTCGTCACAAATTGACCTCTAGCTGGCAATTCTAGTCTCTCATGGGATTCAATATAACCCTATAAAATGTTCAATAATTAAATATTACAATTCATAATCGAGTTCAAACTCTGATCAAGATTACCATTGATTTACGCTTGTTAGTTGTTGTGTTGGCCTTGCATCAATACATTTGCAAAAGGAACATTAAAAAATAACACAGTCCACTTTTATTTTCAGTGTGTGAAGTTTGTCTTCGTATATGTGTGTAAACACCATTTTGGTGATCAGAATGTAGGCCTACATTTTGTAAAAAATTGTCATTCAAAAGAACTAAAGAAAAGGGAGCTGGGTGAAAACTCCAGCAAAGCATATTTCCAGGGAAAGTGAGACATTTAGACAAGTACCAAGAAATCTTTGCACCGAAAGAAATAAAATTAACCGTATAAAGTTGGAAAGACTTTGAAGACATTCCTCAGTATACAGATTATAATCATCATCATCATTCTATACCCCAGAAGTCTGCTTCTTTGGGCAGTTTCACTTTCGGTGATCAAACCGTTCTTCGAGAACCTTTCCTAACAATACTGCATTACTGATAGAACTTGTGCTTTTTCCATATCATCCCTATGAATTTTTTTTCAATTGTTGGTGGTACTGATTCTATAAACAAACTTTGTTTCTGTCACTTGTCATTTGACATCCTTGTCCCAAGCAGTGGTGGAGTGAGCGGGGGCAGGGGGAATTTTCCCCAGTCGGACAGGCCAAATCACCAATTGTCCGACGCACGCGACTAGGTCGTCGGATCAAAAATATAAAAAATTATTTGCCTATAAAAATGACGATATTTTGACTGCCAATCCCTAATTGTGGTCTAAAAGCACATTTTGTACCATTCTAAGCCATAAAAACTCTCACCATGAACCCTACAAGAGAGTTTCTATTCCGACCGTCGACTGAGGTTTTGTCGCTCCTGCTTGGACCCCTCAGTTGAACATGTCAGATCCATTGTCGGCCAATTTCTGGCGCCACCGCTGGTAACATGTGCAGTGTAAGTACATGATGGCGCATTGGTAACAGTGAAACTGCAACACCACGCCACATTTAACAATTTTTATTAGAAGAAAATGTTTAATTGAAAGGCTCTATATAGAAACATCTACTGTAAAACCTAATGCAAAATATCATATTATAGTACCTACCATGTCATAAAGCTCATCGCTCATTTGTGGTTTAGGGGCTGTTGTCCACTTAGCGCCCTCTCTGAAATATTCTTTCATCAAACGGCGGTATGCACGATACTCAAAGAAACGACACCTGGTGGAACGAGTATTCTTGGATAAGGACTCTCAACCGTAGGTCCAGTGTACACCTGTCTCTTATACACATCTTGGCATCGCTGAATACAATCCTACATACCAACATATTTTTTTTTAACGATCTTATTGGTTTGGGAATGGCTGTATTTATGTACCACTCTTTATTAAGTACAGTAAAAAAATACATGTAAAACAGAAATATTATAATCATAATTGAACAGAGATTACGAATACAATCTACAACTTGTCATGTGAATACACCAACACACATTAACATTTGACAACCATTGAATTGGTAATTGACAGCGTCGAATGTGTCATGACGATACCTTATAAGGCAAGGTAGGATGTTAATTCATTGACTCCCACATGGGCAAAGTGTAACCTGCGAGCCACATTTTGTTGCTGCTCACGATAACCCTGTGTGCTCTGGATACAAAACCCCTTGTTTTTAAGGCCAGATATATCTCAGACCCAACACTACTAATATACTATTGTCCTATTGACCGTCAGTTTACTTACCTGTCGAGCTGAAATCAGGCGAGGAATACGATTTCAAATGATCAAGTACATAGGGTCGTCGAACCTTCACTCTTTCATGTTCAAAAATTCGGCAAAACTCCGCAATCTCTAACGAAGTCTTCCTCATGTGTTCTCTTTAAAAAAATTCCAACTTTTTTCGGAGACGACAGCCTCAAGTAAAAAATTAGAAAGAAACAGAGTTACTATATTATGACGTTTTACAGACCAACACAATCAAAACCATAACCACCCTTGCGTCATTGGTTCCCATAGTCAGTAGGGCCATCGTATTTGTCGATAGATTAGGTCCCCTTTTGAGTGTGTGGGAGTGAAAACATAGCCTTTCAACTCAAGAAGTTACCACTGCCTAAAAGGTTAAGCCATGAATTAGCAGCTCACATGCCTAACGCAGCTCATCTTGCTCACAATAGAAAGAAATTACAGTTAAACTAAATGGAATGGACGTCTTTCGTTTTCTTTATTTGCATCAACACCAGCTTGCGGCTGTGGTTGCGTCTGATGCCAGTTAAGCCTTGCTCCAAAAAAAAAAAACCGCTGCATTTTCTCTACAGCGTGGCTGTTACCGAAAACTATCGGGAATTGAAGATCTGTTAAAAAAATGCAGCCGAACATTCCGCATACGCCAGCGCATGCATCGTCAAGCAAAGTACAGGCGGAAATGAAGTTTGAAGTTTTCCGATTATCAGTCATAGAGTCCATGAACAGATTTAGAATTCATGAACGGCCTACCTGGATTTCTGGCATTAATTCTGGAACAGTGGCGTTCTTAACTCGTCTGACGATCACTTCTTCTAAAGGATCCCATTCATTAAAGGAGCAAACTGGGCTTTTAGCAACTTGGGCTTTCTGTTTTTTGAATGCTGAGTACTTCTCGACCGTGTCAAAACTTGACATATACTGCCAAAGATTTTCTAAAATATAATACAATAATCTTTCTTAGTAATATTTACCTATACTATATTTATATAAATTACTCCCTTCCTCCATTCCCTCCTTTCATGGAAATTTAAATGTTATTCCATGAAACATATTATCTTCCCTTATTTTCAGAAACAACATTCAAAGTACTCCTCTTCTCTCCGCATGTACACTTCTTACCCTTCCAATTAAAACTTACACATCAACAAAAAAATAACATCAAAACAGTAAATATAGGCATATATATATATATTATATATATGTATATATATATGTATATATATGAAAAAATGGTGTACAATAATTGAAAGTTGACTTTATACCATTTATTATCCATTTGTTATAAGCGACAATCGTCCTATCTCTATCACCTTAATAGTATTTGAGCAAAGGTGACCATTTGTGCATCCTGACCCTAATGTAGTGCGAGCTATAACTTCAACTAGTATAGTTCCATGTGCAACTTTAATTCACATTAATGTAATCGAAGTAATAATTTTCATAATCTGATTTAATTGAATGACTTCTACTTCACCACCACCTCAACCATCACAAATGACTGACACCACTGATGACCACAAACACCACCACCACCGCAATCAGCACCTGCCACCACCACCACCATGATAACAGGGACACAAACTGAAAGAGGGCATTTCCGAAAGATTGGTTAAATGAGCTTACGAAACACATCCAATTATACTTCACTGCACTTTGTGATACCTATCGCAAGCTGTATTCAGAATAATACAGCAGTAAAAACATGCAAATATCATTAGTTTTTGGGAGCTGAGTTAGGTTAAAAAAAAGTTTGCTTGGTTGAGGAATTGCAGGAGGCTGTCTAAATTTCACAGGTTGCGGGACACTTCAGACCCCTATAGATGAGTCGAGTATCAAGGCAGGGGCGCCGCTAACTACAGCCCTAATATCAGCGGTGGTTCCAGCCGCTCCTCGCCAATAGTTCGGTTCTTTAAACCAAGTCTTCTCGGAAAAGGACTTGGAAATGGAGGTCCAGTGTACACATCTGACTCGTGTGCACTTTAAATAACCCATTGAATCTTTCAGAAGAGTATGGAGTTACCAGATTTTATGGTTCATTTGAGCACCTGTCGTGGAATGATGTGATGTTACGATAAGCTACTCTTTACGGCTGCTAGTTAGTCATGAATCATGACCATGTACAATTCAGCCATGAGTTATGGGTTACTCTCCTACGTTTCGTAATAATGCATCATGAGTGGATTTCTCGCACGATAAAAATCGTAATGGTACTAGGCTTGGTCTACAGGAGTTCGTGCTTCAAACAGGTCATTCCATTCTTAGAAGAAGCATTTTGATGGAGAACCTTTTTAGCAAGGTTTGCCTAGGTCGAAACTAACTCCGGCTATATAAAATTGATTAGAAGTTTGAAAAATGTTATTCTTATTAAAGAATAGATATGGACTACTACATTTATTTTTTATTGATCTAATCTACGTAAATTAACATTTAGAGTTAATAATTATAATTGTTTAAGTATAAATTTAAAATTACAAATATTATGGGAATAATCCTCTAAGTTTATAATAATATTTAATAATATTTAAATATAGCAAGTAGTAACTAATGTTACAATTATGTTATTGTTTATTGAAGTCTACAAAAAAAGATAGGAAGGAAGAAAAACAAAGAGGTCCGGAGCGGCTTACATTTGTACCAAATTTATACAATAACAATAATGGCTCGTAACTATATTTTACGTGTTTGTAGTAAATTTTGGACACTAATCATCAAAGGTCAAGTTGTCAAGTCTACATGTTTCATAATTGCATGTTTGAAGAAGTGCTTCCAGGAGCTTCTCATGATACGCAGGAAACTTGGGACACCTGTGATAATGTGTTCACATAAATATAGAATGAAATGTGTTCCAAAAACCTACTTCAACAGGTCATCCTTTCCTTCTTTCTGAAGAAACTTGTTGAATTATTCCAACGCTGTTTGTCCTGGAATATCTCCTCCAGTAAAATGACCATCATTGGTCCCACGCCATCTTCCTCGTCCCAGTTGCGGAAATACCTCTGATACTTGGGGCCCCCATCTTGCCTGATATGCCGTTCACAGTGAGCTTTTGCAAAGTGACACTTTCCTAGAAGGAAAACAATTAATAATTCACAGAGTATTTATTATATCTATATTATATACTTGTTTATATTATGTTTATCATATTTTTATATTTATTATAGTGGCGTAACAACATATCAAAATGTTGTGGCAATGTGTATTAGCAATTGATTAAGAGTGTGGTTGAATGTGTAGTTGAATAGCTTGGTGGTTGGATGTAGTTGAGTTGAATAGCTTCAATTCCTGTCAGTGTTGCAGGAATTTTTCCCACGACCAAAACAACTGCACTCGCTAAATCTCATATTGAGATTTAGTTTGTGTAAAAGCATCGTGTGTGTATGTCTGTCTTGTGTAAGGGATTGTCACCTACAAGTAGGACAGTGATATATTCGCTATTGGCAATCCTTGGCACATGTATTGTGTGCCTAAAAAAAAAAAGAAGAAAGTAGTCACAAAATGTCATAGCTGTTATATTACTCAAATTCTCTGTGAATTTTAGTAGCACATTACATTCATGAGTTAAAAACCAGAAATTATATATTTTTTGCTAGTTTTTTGGTGTCTTCTTTTAGAAGGATATTGTGTATTATAATAATTACTAGGGACCCAGGGCTTTGTCTCTCCTCCTCTTGAGCCCATCTAAAACTTACCTGGTTTAGGTATCTTTTCAGATTACGTGCCTTCAACAGCTCTCCTTTACTAGCTCCCTTTGATGTCTTTGTTCCTACTTCTAATCCCTTTGCCTTCTTCATATTTTGAATGTTGGTTGCTTGCATAATTTCAGTTAAAATGTGACACCTAAAAATGAAGAAATCATCAATTATTAGTCAATCAATCAATTAATCATTACTATAAGATTTTAATTATTATTTTTCTCATTTTTCTCATTATCATTTTTATAATTAGAGAAGAATAACTTCCTTTGTTGTTACTTTGATATGATTCAGAAAATGTTATATTCAAATATCTATATCTTAATAATCATTGAAAAATGAAAGACTGGAAAAGAAAAAAGTAAAGAAATGCAATGACCGCATATCAGGGCAAGAAATGCCAATGACAAAATGGAAATAAATCAAACATCAAATGAACATACCCTACATAATATTACATTGACTATTTTGAATAATTAATTCATAAATATATGCATCAATTATAAATAAGGAACCTGATTTGTTAAAGTTCTTGGGTATCATGACAGCTATTAAACTGCTTAAAATTTCAATACATTGACAATTTTGAATAATTTATTCAGCCCATGAAATTAGGAAAAAATTAGGTCGGCAAAAATTTGCCAACCTTAAATTCTCCGAGGTCGGCAGCCTCGGCAATTTTTACTACCTAGGCCTATATTATAAACTATGATTTTTCCGAACGCTCGACCTTACTTACATCGTCATCTACAGATTGTGATTTTGTTAATTTCTCTATTAAATCAATATATTGCTGGTGAAAGAATGGTCGTACTGTACTTGTATTAATTTAATAGCGTAGTATAATACATATGTTTTAGATAAGAAAATTGCCAAATAAATTTCATTTTAGCGTTCGTTTTATCGTTATCTTTGGCATGTGAAATATCACTTTCGTAAAAGCTACGATCGTATCATCACAGGCTGCTTCAAAACTGCCATGCATGTCCATGTCCATGCACATGCCCAGAATGATCTATCAGGGATTTCCACACATGTACAGTGTACTTGTCAGTAGTGAAGTCACGATGCGATCATGATTGCATTTAAACGGGCGGTAGGATTAGGCCTACAATATGTAGAATTTGTTGTTTTTAGATAATAAACAACATTTTAAATATGATAATAAAATAATGGCAAGTTAAATCTTTGAAATATATTTTATTACACTAAACTAAATTTTATATATTTATATAACATGATATGATGTTATTTTCTTCATTTTCAACATTAAAGCTAAAATTTTTAACAACTTACTGATGGTTTTTGCTAGAGAAATAACCAAAATCATAAACTTTAGAGACTGATATCTCAAATATTGTTCGTTAAACAGCTATGTTTAAACTCTTGTCAGAAAAAGAAAAAAAATGATAGCCCAGAACGCCTCAACTGATATTTTCGGGTGTCAGAACACAAATATTTCGAGGGGGCGTGCCCCCGGACCCCCTAGGGCAGTGTTGTCTCGCTCGGCCCAACTTTTGGCCCCCCCCCTTTTGGACATATCTGGATCTGCCCCTGTACATATAAATTAAAATAGACTGAATAGTATAATGATAAATGAAAACAGAGGAAATATATATTTTCATATTTATTTCCTCTATCAAATTATTAATATGTTTATAATCATATACTCTATTTTTTAATGGCCACTCAAGGCTTCTTTAATGGTAACATACGTAGGCCCTACACTGAAAAAGAAAAAAAAAACATATACGAGCTTGACAGAAAAAACAATACATAACAATTCAAATTCTCATTTTACAGTATGTAGAATAGGTTTATTACCGTTCACATGGCAGTATATAACGGTCTATCCTGATTGATGCTATAAACACAGACATGAAGGTCATGGTTGAATGCGTTTCTGCTGACACGTCAATGCGTTACAGATCCACAATGTCAATGCATTACATATCAACACACGACGGGAAAACCAACAAAACAAAAACAAAATCAAGATACATCGATTTTTAACGGAAATTTGGATAATTACCATTCTAAAAGTTGGTTCCTATTGTCTATTAAGTAGTTTTCTACTCTCGTGTGGTAATATTTTTATCATTTTTGCACCCGTGTTGTCCCGAGTGGTCCCTTGTGTTCCGTGTGGTATTTAGTAGGACCGCCATGAAGCATTTTTAAAACAACCGGGTACCATCAACATCTCCCTATATGTCCATATCTAGACATACATTTATCAAATGCCTAGGCCTATCTATTTATTTAATAAGTATACACTCTAGTAGATAGTAATATATTAATATTAAACATATTCTATATTCTATCCTGATTGATGCTATGAAACACAGACATGAAGGTCATGGTTGAATGCGTTTCTGCTGACACGTCAATGCGTTACAGATCCACAATGTCAATGCATTACATATCAACACACGACGGGAAAACCAACAAAACAAAAACAAAATCAAGATACATCGATTTTTAACGGAAATTTGGATAATTACCATTCTAAAAGTTGGTTCCTATTGTCTATTAAGTAGTTTTCTACTCTTGTGCGGTAATATTTTTATCATTTTTGCACCCGTGTTGTCCCGAGTGGTCGCGAGTGGTCCCTTGTGTTCCGTGTGGTATTTAGTAGGACCGCCATGAAGCATTTTTAAAACAACCGGGTACCATCAACATCTCCCTATGTCCATATCTAGACATACATTTATCAAATGCCTAGGCCTATCTATTTATTTAATAAGTATACACTCTAGTAGATAGTAATATATTAATATTAAACATATTCTACCGCATTCCACCAGCAAACCAACTTTTGTGCACCAAGTTCATTTAATTTTCATACAAATAATTAATGTGCAAATTCAAAATACATGAATGTTTGTATAATGAAAGAAAGAATACAAATACTATAAAAAAAAAGTATTTAAAATGTTTGATTAGGCGAGCAGACGGTAGCCGATCATTTCGGTCGTGCTTCATTTCGGTCACGCTCATTTCGGTCTCGGTTTATTTCGACCAAATATATGGAGCGCCGAAGGAGTTGCGAAAATGCAAAATTTAATATGCCTAGGCCCTATATATTATTATAATTAGTTCGTCAATCGGTTTAACATAGGCCTAAGTATTTTTTTATTTCCGTTTTGCTATCTTTCTACTAACAACATTTTATCTTTCTTTCATATTCTCTTTCTTCCATTTACGGTGACATATTCACAATGGAATTTGTATGTGCTTCATGCTATTCATTTTGTTGCGTTTTCATATACTGTACTCTAATAATTATGGTCAATAAAATTTATCTTTTATTTTAATTGAATTGAATGTTGTTTACCATCTGAAATCTATTTCATAATTTAGTTGAAACAATAATCATTAAAATATTTAATCCCATCTTTTTATACAATAAATTTATTTATTTTTCTTGCAGCTTCCAGAGTTTGGATAAAACATACCATACCAAGAGAATTGAGGGAAACACAATTAAAAAAATAAACGAATAATACACACATTATCATTCTTCACTTCAAATCTTAAATTTTCTTTGATGCCCCTGCGCACTTCATAAATATGAATATATATATATATATATATATATATATATATATGACTTTATATAAGCATATAGGATATACCTAGCAACTATATAGGCCTATATTAATATATATATATATATATATATATAGACCTCTATATACACATACATATATATATTTATACATATAATATTATATATAATTTATACATATTTATTTACATTACAAATGGAATCATATAACAAATATATATTTTACTATCCATTTACTTTTGTATTTTATAAACATGATCAGCAGCCAGCGCAGACGATTCGAAGTTACTGGTTTCATTTCATTCAAGCATAATAAAAATTATATCAATATATATATATTGCAACAAACAATAAAAAAAAACATATCTCAAACTTTGTCAACTTCGCCTTGTTTCTGTAAAAAAAATAAAAATAGCACCAAGTGATACAGTAATATAGTAACAATAATAAACTAATACTAATAAAAATAATTGTTAATAAACTAATGTTACAGTAAGATAAATAACGAGTTGGCTGGTTTTTCTTGATAAAAAGTTTTATTTTTTATAAATAATATATCAAAAAACAATACTGTACCGTAGTACGAGAAATACCAAATTTTTAGTATTCATTTTTTTACTGTATTTGTTATGTACACTTTTTTTAAATTT